TTGCATGGGCTCGCCACCTTCGGCAGCCATTCCCAACGACTCCCTCCCCGGCGAGTGAGGACACCTGTGCATCCCCCCTCCCCTCCCTGACCTTCGCCCCCTTCTTCGCTCCCGGCTTCCACCCCGCGCCCCCGGCTGCCCATGCTGACCTCCCTGCCCTCTGCGGTCTTCGGTCGACACGTTGTGCGGCCCGCCCGACAGCCGGTCGCGCTATCGCACCGTCCCGGGTCTCCTCCTCCAGGAAGGGAAGCCACATCACCACACACGCCTACACACGCACACGCGCACGCATTGAGAAGAGCACGCGCACGCGCACCCACACACAGAGCACCGCCCCGCCCGGCCGGTCCGCTGCGAGACAAAGCGCGAGAGCGACCGATCCCCGCGTTGTCCTTGAGAGAGACCGAGAGCGCGCGCGCTCCAGCGGCCCATAGCCCCCTCCTCCTCCTCCCCCCCCCTCCCCCTCTAGAGCCGGTATGTTTGCCCTCGCCGGCCCCCCTCCCCCTCCCCTCTCCCTCCCCTCCGCCACCGCCGCTGCCGCCTGGTCCTTACCCGCGCGTGCGCGTTGCCATGCCCCCCCCCCAATCCTCCACTCCGCGAACATCGACCCCCCCTCTACGCACACACACACACACACACAGAGTCGCCCTCGTCTCTCCGCGCATACACGCGCACACACACGCACGCGCACATACACACACACACGCACGCACGCGTGTGCGCGCGCTCGCATCACAGAGACATGTCCCACGTCGAGACTAATCTCTTCATACCTCCCGGCGCCCTGCTCTTTGGCAGCCAGCCGCCCCAGTCGCATTCCTCGCCTGCCTTCCTGCTTTCGGGCCAAATGCCGTCCTCCCCACAGCAGCAGCAGCAGCAGCAGCAGCAGCAAACCGGCGACATGCACCTCGCCGGTGGTGATGCGCTCACATGCATGGGCACCGGTGGTGCCCCCCCGGTGGCGGGCGCCACCGCGGCAGTGCCCCCCGGCTCGCCCTCCTTCGCTCCGCTGAATGGGGCTGCCGGCGGCGGGGCCGACGGCACGCCCACGGTCGGGGCGCTCAACTCCCCGAATGGCCTGGCCCCGGGGGCATCGCCCTCCCCCTCGCCGATCCCCCCGACGGCGGTGCTGCCGCTGTCCTCGCGCGGTGGCGGCGCCCCGCGCATGGGCCGGCGCAGCAGCGTCGGCACCCTGCCCTCCAACTATCCGCGCATGATCCGCCGCGGCAGCACCGGGCTCAACTTCGGCGAGTCGACCCCCGGCCCGGGCGGGGCCCTGCTCAACTTGTCGGCCATCTACAGTGGCACGGCCAGTGGCAGCTCCTCGCCGATGCTGGTCGGGTCGAGCTCCGGGCCGCTGCCGGCCTTCGATGAGCTGGCCGAGGCCGGGCCCCATCACGGCCACCATGGCGGCGCATCGTCTTCCTCCTCCTCCTCCTCCTCCTCCTCTTCCGGCGGCTCGACCAATGGGTCCCAGCACCATGGTCACCATGCGGCGGCCATGATGGATGCCGACCCGCCGGTGGGCGGGTCGCCCATCCTGTCGGCTGACGCGGCCACCGCCGCTGCCGCGGCCGCGGCCGCCGCCGCCGCCGGCCTCATGGCCGGAGCCCCGCCCAGCTCGCCCGGGCTGTCGCTGTCGCCGCTGTCGCACCTGTCCCTGGGGTCCGGGGGCATTGCCGGGGCGGGCACCGGCCCCGGGTCCTCATCCAGCTCGCCGGTCCTTGGGGCCAGTGCGGGCATCGTGGCCGGCGGCGCTTCCGGCGGCGGGCACCTGCCCATGTCCTCGGCAGCCCTGCAGCAGCAGCAGCAGCAGCAGCAGCAGCAGCAGGCCGCCGCCCTCGGGGGTGGCATGGCCGGCGGCCCGGGCATCGCGTCGACCCCCGTGGTGGTGGGGGGCCCCCCTTCGTCGGACCCCGCCTCGCCGGGGTCCTCGGGCATGGGGTCGCCCATGCTCCCCCCGGGGCAGGGGCTTTTCCAGTCTTCGCAGGGCGGCGGCCCCTCCGGGCATGGCAGCCCGGAGGCCGTCGGTGGCGGGTCCAATGTCAACGGCGGCGGCGGCGGCGGGGCCCTGACCACGCACATCGGGCCCAGCAGCAGCTCGCTCGCCGCGCACCAGGCCCAGGCCATGCTGCAGCAGCACCTCCACCAGCAGGCCCAGCAGGCTGCCCACCACCATGGCCTGCACCACTCGCTGCATCACCACCACGCGGCGGCTGCCGCCGCGCACATGCACTCGCAGCAGCAGCAGCAGCAGCAGCAGCAGCAGCAGCAGCAGCAGCAGCAGCAGCAGCAGCAGCAAAACCCGACTCAGTACCATTCGCAGCTGCTGAGCGTCAACAACATCCAGAGCCAGGTCCTGTTCGGGTCGCTGTCCTCCGCCGGGCCCATCCTCAGCAGCGCCTCGCCGCACTCGTCCTTCTCCTCGCCGAACCCGAGCCCGGCTGACGCCTTCCCCCGGCCCAGCAGTACGTCCCCGGCGGCCCCGCCCCCCCCCTCGGCCCATGCCACCTGCTCCGTGCCCTTTTGCCACCTGCTCCGTGCCCTTTTGCCATCATTCCCCCGCCTCCGATCGGAGCCCCGCCACTTACACCCATGCACGTCCCCCCCCCTGGCTTCCTCCCAATCGTAGACCGCATGAACCAGCCCGGCGGCTCGGTCCGGCGCAACAGCTCCCCGGCCATCCGGCCCATCTCCGGGCACCCGCTGTCCGGTGGCGCGTCGTCCAGCTCGCCGTCCGGGCCGTTTGCCGGCATGTCCAACGGTCCGGGCACCCTGCTGCGGTCGCCCTCGCCCGGGTCCGGGTCGGCCTCCGGGTCGGGGTCCGGGTCGGACACCGGCCGGCGGGGGTCCCTCGGCACCGGGCGTGCCGGGTCCTCGCGAGCCGGGCTGGCGGCGGTGGCCGCGGCCGCGGCCCAGTCCGGCCCCGGCAGCGGCACGTCCTCCCGCGGGGAGCAGTGCCTGTGGGACGGGTGCAAGCTCTACTTCGAGGATCAGATTGAGTTCTTCATTCACCTGAAGTCCGACCACCATGTGTTCATCCGGCCGACCTCCATCCGGGCCTCCTCGCTGACGGACCCGGCCGGGTACGGCGGTGGGGCCGGGTCGGCCGAGGCCGCGGCCGGGTCGCTCGGCAGCCTGAACATGGTGTTCGCCGGGCAGCTGGGGCCCGGGGCCACCGGCGGCCTGCTGGGCCCGGGGCCGGGCCTGGTGGCCGGGCCCGGGGGCGCCATGCCCGGCGATCCCGGCCACTCGGCGGCCGCCGGCAAGAACACCTGCAAGTGGCGCGGCTGCAACAAGGAGGGCCGGCACTTCCGCAAGTACTACGACTATACGTCGCACATTGCCACGCACTACCGGGTGCCGCGGTTCTTCTGCTCCCTGTGCGACCAGCTGATCATCCGCCGGGGGCAGGTCATCCAGCAGCACTTCTCGCGCACCCATCCGGAGCTCAAGCAGGGGACCGGGCCCTCGCCGTCCGGGGCCGTGGCCTCCACCCCGGCCACTCCCTCCTCGCCGACCATGCCGGATGTGGGCACCGGGTCGGGCGCCTTCGCCGGCGGCGAGGGCGACCGGCCGGGGCAGCAGCCCGGCGACGGGGGCCTGTCGAACCCGGCCTCGCCGAGTGGCGGGCTGCCGCCGAATGCGTCGGCCGCGGCGGCCGCCGCGGCGGCGGCCGCCGCCGCCGCCGCCCTCGACGCGTCCATCCAGTCCTCGGTCTGGAATCAGTATGTCATCGATCTGGCCAACCTGTCGGATGACCAGGTCCGCGGGCTGTACCGCCGGTCGCAGGAGGCCCAGGCGCTGAAGAACATCATGGAGACCGGGGCCCCGGGGGCCGGGATGCTGACCGGCCGGCCGGGGGCCGCGGTGGCTGCGGCTGCGGCTGCGGCGGCGGCCGCCGCCGCCGCGGCCGCCATCGGCAACGAGATGCCTATGAATGCCCTGCCGAAGATGCCCGTCTCGCCGATGCCCTGCATGTCCTACGACGATGCGGACACCGAGAGCCTGGCCAGCGCCAACAGCAGCCGGAGCAGTGGCTTCTACTCGACGGCTTCCTCCTGCGGCTTCGAGGATGGGCTCTTCACCGGCGAGTCGGACAACGACGAGTTCGAGTCCCTGCCGAACATCTACAAGGGCGCCGGGGCCGGGGCGGCCAACCGCCGGAGCAGCCTGGCGGCCACCACGGCCGGCATGGACCCGACCGGGCAGCTGGGGCTCCTCCGCCGGCGGGGCAGCGCCCCGGCCATGAGCCTGTCCTCGATGCCGCTGATCCGCGACATCGGCCTGCCCTTTCACCTGGGCCAGCGGCAGTCCAGCTCATCCAGCCTGAGCAGCGAGCTCGGCGACAGCACCGAGCTTCTGGTGACGCCGCTGGGGGCGGCCACCGGGGCCACCGCGCCCGGGGCCCACTCGCCGCAGCTGCTCTTCCAGCAGGCCGGCCCCGGGGGGGTCGGCGCCGGCGGCGGCGGCGCCGCCGCCGGTAACGGCTACTTCAGCGTGGCCACCAATGGCCAGCAGCATGGGTATGCCGCGGCTCCCGGCGGCGGTGGGGCCCCAGCGCCCAACCCGCTGCTCATGTTCCAGCAGCAGCAGCAGCAGCAGCAGCAGCAACTCCACCACTCGCAGCAGCAGCAGCAGCAACAACAGCAGCAGCTCCACCACGCTGGCATGGTGCCCGGCCATGGGGCCATCGGAGCCGGCACGCACCCCAATGGCCTGGCCCTGCTGGGCGCTGGCGGCGCCGGCATGCCGCTGCACATGCTAGGCGGCTCGCTGCAGGCGCACCACCAAGCCTCCGGCCAGCAGCAGCAGCAGCAGCAGCAGCAGCAGCAGCAGCAGTCCCCGCATGCGGCCCACTTCGGCGGGTCGATGCATCTGCTCAATGCCCCGGGCTTTGGCCCGTCGGCCGGGTCCCTGCAGCAGCACCAGCAGCAAGTTCACCAGCAGCTCCATTCGCCGCAGCTGGCCTCCTCCTCCGGGACCCTGCAGGCATCACACGGCGGCCCTGGCGGTGTCCATTTGACCGGCACCGGCGGCATGGTGGGCTACCATCATGGTGGCGCCGGCGGTCTTGTCGGTGCCAACATCCAGGGGGGCAGTCCCACCATGTCGGCCACTGGGAGCCTCCTGGTTCCGTACCAGCAGGCCCAGCAGCAGCAGCAGCAGCAGCAGAGCCCCGTGCTCGGCGCGGTCCCCAATGGCAACGGCCTGCACCCGCAGCATCATCACCACCTGCAGCAGCAGCAGCAGCAGCTCCAACTCCAGCTCCAGCAGCAGCAGCAGCAACAGCAGCAGCAGCAGCAGCAACAGCAACAACAACAGCAGCTCCAGGCCCAGCTTCAGCACCTGAAGATCGACCAGTATTCCTCGGCCAGCGATGGCGGCGCCTCGGACTCCGGGCTGTTCGGCGGTGCGGCCCAGATGCACGGCGCCGGAGCCGGGCTCCTGGGTGGGTCCCCCTTCCCGGCGGTGCCGAACTCGGTGTCTGTGGCACCGGTCTCGGAGGGCGTGTAAAGAACCACCCACGGCGCGCACATACACACACACATATACATGCGCGCATGATGCCCCCGGTGTCCGGCCCGGTCCGCCTCCTTTTTGTACTCTATGGGCCAGAGAGAGCGAGAGAGGGGGCAGGCGCACGTCCCTCCTTCCCCCCACCCGCCCGCCCACCCACCCATGCTGGTCGCGTGCATGTTCCGCCCCCATCCCCCCATCCCCCCGCCCCCCCCCCATCCCTCTCCTCTTTCTCCCCCTTCTCTCTTCCCCCCTCCCAAGAATGAGGGCCTGGGCGCCTGCATGTGGCGCACGCCACCCGACTCAGTTTTGCCGGGGGCTCTCGCATGCGTGCCAGGTCTTTCCTCTCCCCCTGCCGTCTCTTCCCTCCCCTCCCCCTCTCTCCCTCTGCCCGCCTGGCGAGTGTCACAGGGGCAGACGTGTCCCGCTCCGTGGGCATGGCCTCTCCGCCGTGAAGCGACTAGTTTCCGCATTTCGGCGAGCGGCGCCGCGAGCGACACGCTCCTCTCCCCCC